ATCATCATCATCATCATCATCACTATAATCATCATCATCATCACTATAATCATCATCATCATCACTATAATCACTTACTTTATTGCCCAATTGAGTCACTGGAGTGATGCAGCCAACTGTCCAGGTCCTGAGTTACTAACTGACCAAGGTGTTATGATGCCTGATGGAGAAGGGAGCTCCTGAACCGGTCAGTGATCCACCACTGTAGCTGCTCCTCTGTCCAGCCAGGATGCTGTGAAGATTGTGGTTGACATTGTTCAGGATGGATGTTCTGTGCTGTGTATGCACCTTTCAGTCGCAGTCCTCAGCGAGTCCAAACGTCTTTGCCAGCCCATCCAGCCGCCTGGTGGTCCTCTCAGTCATGCTACCACCGCACCAGACCACAGCATAGAGAAGAACACTGGCCACCACTGATTGGTAGAACATATGTAGTATTTCACTACATACACTGAAGGATCTTCATCTCCTGAGGAAGAACAGTATTTGTGGACAAATAAATGACTGCTTTGGGCACTGGTACAAGACATGATGTTTTTTACAGAACCGGAACCCCACCCATCTGCAGACTTAAGTGGAATGGCTTCTGTGTTCATGGACTAGTCCAGTTTGTTGTCAAGGCACAAACCTAAATATTTCTATGTTTGCACCATTTCAGTGTCCTCCCCTCTGATGCTGACAGGCTGTAACTGAGACCTGCAGAAGTCCATGATCATCTCCTTGGTCTTGGAGATGTTCAGCAGAAGGGAGTTCTTACCAGTCCAGTCAGTGAAGGCTGTCATCAGGCTCTTGTACTCACCTTCCTGCCCATTTTTGGTACACGCCAAAATAGCTGTATGATCAGAGTGTTTCTGACTGTGGCAGAACTCAGATCTGTACATAATGTCCGCAGTGTACAGAGTGAATTTCTCCGGACAGTAGATCTTCTCCCTCAACGTAGTATGACCGCAGTTTATGGATCACAAACAGCACCACACCTCCATCTTTGTTCTTTCCACTCGCTCTTGAGTCTCTGTCGGCTTGTACCGTTGTGAGGCCGGAATCAGGCTCCACTCGAGTCAGGAGTGTTGTCGTCCAGCCACACAGGGCTTGCATCTCCGTTTCTTCCCCCTACGCTTTGCACCAGTTCTCCAGTATGCTTTCTTCAACTTGGCCATTATGGGATGTTTTACTCCGTGTCTCCATTGTAAACAAGGAGGTCCGACCTTGATTACACTGTTCTTCTCAAAGCTGTGTACAAAGACAGTACCTTAATCACTGTCACCATCATTATTATCCTCATCATCTTCATCACTACTATGATCGCCATCATCATCATCTTTTCTCACCCCCCCTTACCTTCATCCTTCTCTTCCTCATGTGTAGATTCAGGTTTTAGCTTTGTTCTTGTTTTCCACTCAGTGTCATGAGCTCGTTATTTGAAGGAATCATCTGACTGAACGGGGTTTTCTTTCCACAGTTGACGGTTGGATCTCCAAGTTCTGACAATGCTGAGCTCGGTCAGGTATGCTGCTACGCTGGTTCTCTTATTTTTTTCTCTTATTATTCTTATTTTTAATCCATTTCACCTTTGAAGGGTTTTCAGTAGCAACAACTGAAAAACGGAATCACAATAAAAGTGCTGATGACAGTTTTCTTTTGAACATACAGAAAATAGTTGTGTATCTGTGATTTGCTTGCTACAGAAACATTCTTTGATTCATATGTAATTCTCACACAGTATAAACCTCTGTTCTTGTGGGAGTTCTATTTGTCATGATGTAGTTTTGTAAAGACTTCATTGGGCTCATTTTCAGATCTGTAGGTAGAGACTGTCTCACAAGCAAGAATTTATTCAGATTTTTGATTCGATAATTAGGATAACCAACCAGAATAAAACCAGACTTTCATAGTCATTAATTCATGAGTAGCTTAAGCTGCTATCGAGATTTCAACCAGAAAAACAAAGAATCTATGAAGATGGAGGGATCTGATATTTGAGCAGTACTGTCTGCTTGAGGTCTTGATCCTAACTGCGGTGATGCGACAAGTCCTGTTGTCAAACAGTGCAAATACTTCTGTTTGCTGCATCAGCACTTAGGGCTATTCATTCCTTTGAATCACTTAGAAACCTGTGTTTGTTTAATGGTCTAATAATACAGATGTGTTGATCGTCAGGTCATGGTCAGAGTTTGAAACCTGTTTTCCTGTTCTTCTCCTGAATCATGAAAAAAGCTCCCATGCTGCAGTATTTTGGTCGACTGTAGAAACTGTTTTATTAGGTAGGATTCCTGTTTATCTCTGATCGTACTTCAAAACGCTTCAGCTCTGAGGTGTTTGTAAATGACGTGCAGCGGATAATGTGATGGCAGCAGTTGCTGGTTGTGTTCTGTTAGTGACATTGTTTCTGCCCACAGATTCCTCCTGCTGAAGATCCCAAAACTTCTCCAGGTGAAGCAGCTCCAGCGGTAAATTTTTATCATTTACAAAACAATGTGGGACTCCTACTTAGACAAAACATTAATGCACAAAAGACAACTCACTCAAATTCAGCATAATCACTTCATCTGTGTAGAGTAACATCAGCTTTTACAAAACTCCCATCAAAGTTAAAAATATTCTAGAATACAGACAGAAGAGGAATCACTCAAAAAGCTCAAAAAGATATCATATAAATACCAAGGCACAGTCAATAAGGAAGATAAGAGGAACGTTATACCTTTGTTGGTGAGCTTTTGTCTCCTCCTTCTGGTAGTGAGAGTAATTACACAAACGCTGTGGGTGTACGCCTCCCTATCCTCCGTCTTCACACTGCAATCAAGCTGCATTTTATCTGCTGCATTAGAAGCGTTTCCTGGATGCTTCCTCAGGTTTTCTGTCATAGTCTCCACCATACTTGTAGCTGCTTTTGCTGCTCTGCGACACAGTTCCCCTCCTTACCACCAACCCTAACCCATCGCTGCTGGTGCAGCTGTGCAGGAATGTCTCCACTAACTGCAGATTTATAACTGGTGTTCTTTGATGGAAAGACAGACTTACCAGCAGCTGAGAGGCCGAATCAGCTGTGTGTGAACACAATCCGATTGATTCTAACAGACATTCATTAATCTGTTGAAGTTCTGCATTCCAGCTTTAAATAATAAATATCAGTGGTAATGATCAACATGCATCCAGTGTATGTAGCACGATCAGTAAAATGTTAACACACTGAAAAACCATGTTCTTCACTCCTTTAAACAGCTCGGGATTGTTCTTCCAACCCCCTGATTTCGTTCTGCACCCTTTTATCGCTGCCAATGAAGAGCTTTGTAGATGTGATTCTTAGATTAACGCTGACTGTTCTCTGCAGGAAAACATGCCGATCCCGTCTGTTGTGATTGAACCTGCTTCAAGCAATGAAGGTGACGATGACCGGGATGCTGACATCATCTCTCCCACCACCATTAGTGACAATGGCATGGCGACTGAAACCCAGGCCATGAAACACATGAGTCCATCAGGAGGCGTGTCAGGACTGCCTGATGACTTTCTTTACAAGGTGAGACTTTTTCCACCTGCTCACAACAAATCCTTTAAAGAAGCAAAACAAAAGCTACAGTATACAACAGCAGTGAGTGTATGGCAGTGCAATATCACTTCAATGTCAAATGATTCCAACCTGTATCCCCTCACAGTAATCAGATTACTTCTAGCAGTAGAGGACTGTCTCTGATATCAGATTACAAACTACCAGTTCAGATTTCACAGATTAAATTCAGGCTCCACAGCAGGAACTAAACTAAAGTGAGTCCATCTTTCATTCCTGAGGTTCTTTAGTTCCTTCAGTTCTTCGTGTGTCCACCTTTATTTCTGCTGACAGACTCCATCCTCCTTTGCATGGAGGAGACCAGAGTCCACTAAGTTCTGCTCACATGTTCTCACGTTCTTCACTCTGTTTCATTCAGCTGCTCTTTGCTGGAGGGGTTGTGCTGCTCCTCCTTTCTCTGGAAAACACCTCAAAGAGTTCTGTTGGACTCAGCTCAGGACTCACACTGTCCAGGTCAAAGTTGGACAAATTAGTATTTTTGAACAACTTTCAGTTGTTTTGAAACTGAGTTCTTCACTGTCAGGATGACGCATCCACTGTGGTGGTCCTGGTCAGGTCCACACCAAACATCTGGACTCCATGTGAGCCCAACACATTGATCTCCATCTGACCAGAGGATGTTCTCCAGCATCCATCAGGCTTCTGTTCATGTTCTCTGGTGAACTTTGATGTGGAAGTTTAGCTGTGAGCAGCAGCCAGGTTTAGTTCTGCTCCTCCGTCCATAGAGGCTGATGTTCTGAAGTGTCCTTCACACTGTGTGAGCTTCACACTAACTCTGGTCTCCATTGATCAGCCCTGTGCCAAGTCTGAAGCAGCTGCCTTTGTCTGGTGTCCACAGCTCCATAGTGACAGTAGTTGACTGTCCGTGGAGTCGTTGTAGGAGGACGACCACTGCAGCCCTGATCAGTGCTGCTGTGGCTCCTTCTGGACCTCCTGGTTCCTGCTCACACTGGGCTGCACTGGGTTCTAGCTGCTCACTGATCTTCTGGATCCTTTTCCATCTTTGTCCAGTCTCTCAGTCAGATGTTTCTCCTCCTCTGTTCAGGTCTTCTCCATGTGGAGCCATGATGCAGACATAGATAGACACAGTCCAACGGTCCAGAACTGAGAAGGTTCTGCTGCTCTCAGCTCTTTGTAGAACCATGTTCATGCAGGTGGACTGATGGAGACCACAACTGGACTCACTTTGGTTCTTTGAGGTTCTACTTTGAGCAGAATTTTTGTATATAATATCTATAGAGGGATTTTTTTGTGCATCAGAGGAGATATTCTACGGTTCTACTTAGAAAGAATGCAGCTATAGAGAACTGATTCAATGTAGAATCAACTGGCATTACTGCACAGGGATGCAATCACTTCTGATGTATGCAGTACATAGTTTTTAGCACAAGTAAACATACGCACTCTGGTGTCAGGAGAGGTGATGAGGGTATTTTTTGTCTTGCAGGTGGAGACCATGCACGACTTTGAAGCTGCAAATTCCGATGAACTAGAACTGAAGAGAGGTGATGTGGTTTTGGTGGTTCCCACTGCTTCAGTAGAGGATCAGGTGAGAGCAGCCGGTGACACAAAAGTCTCATAATTGAAAGTCAGCACCATGCTGGACAGAAGGACTTAACACGTCTTATTTGGCTGATTGTGATGTTTTTGTGGTTGCTGCAGGATGCTGGCTGGCTCACAGGGATCAAAGAAAGTGACTGGTTAACACTTGGAGTTGGTGCTCAAAAAGGACTTTTCCCAGACAACTTTACTCAGCGTTTGGAGTAAGAAGTTGCTTCATGTGGTGGAAAAAATAAGTAGAAATCTTTGTCCAAGACATCAAGTCAGCATGTAGCGAACCCCTTTCCTGAAAAAAACCTTTAAGCTGCTGCAGCTGTCTGCTGGACAACATGAGGCTTTCTCTGGTAGATGAAGCTCTACTGAAACTAACAGTCATGGTAATAAACACTAGTACTCCTCCCAGCATAAGTGGTCATTATAAGCATGATGTGATAGTGCATTCTACCCTCCTCTGAAAGTGAGATATCATTTTTGTTCAAAGAAAATAGACGTGTGGTTTATTGGGAATGTTGCAATCTCTACATATTCACACCAACTGAAAGTCTGACAGCTGTTTCTTAAGAAAACAAACAAAATGAGACAAACTGTATCTACTTTGCACCAAGTGTGTTGTAATGACTTTGTTGCTCTGCTGTGGATTTACAGAAACTGTAGTGCTGTGATCTATTTAAATGTTCTTGAGTGTAACATGAAATTCTTTTTTCAGACACGTCATCACTGATAATCTTGAATCACTGTAGGTGTATTTCTGTCGTATCATTGTTGAGTGTGTGTGATGAGTGATCTTTTCTTTTGTCATATGTGGTGATGAATTGACGCAGTAAAGAGTGTTGCTGTGTTTTTGCCAAGAGAATCCTGACATTTATTATCTGAACATTGGAAAATGAACCAATGCTCATCCAGCATGAAACTGTTGACTAAATCTTTTAATAAAGTACGTATTCCAAGATGAAAAATAAACAATATCTCCACTATTAAAATATCCTTGTATGTCTGTCTATCTTCTAAAAATGATTTGCAAGAAACAAAGCCAATCAAAAGATGGTTTCACTTTGCCAACATTTTCTTTGAAGTGTACAGTCAGAGGGATGGCGCTCCACATGTTGCTGGTATACTTTAGGTTTCAAGAATCAAACAGTAATACGCATCATCACTTCCTTTGATAGTGATGTGAAGCCTGTTGTAATGTTTTGGGGCTTAACTCCAGTAAAACTTGTTTTTTATGGATATTATTGTCAGACTTCACACCTGTGCTCATAACTCATCACGACCAACCTTGCAACCTTTCTCCAACTGACAGCTGTGCTTTTATAGCGTAACGCAGCTTAATTAATGTAATGTTTACTTTTGACCCATGCAGTAGTACTTTTTAATTGCCTTTGGGCTTACTCATGGAACGAGTTGCAGTTTATTATTTATTCCACAGGACTCATTTAAACAAAGATCAGTAGCTGTTCTGCATGTTCTCCTGCATGTATTTCATGGGTTTTGGGGCGTTCGCTGAGCTGCTGAGGCAGACAAATCAGCAACCACTGTCTCCCCCTTCTGGCCGTGAGAAAAATGACACAACACTGTGCAAAAACGTCTGGTTTCTGGTCAGGCTTCGATCCCTGGCCGAGCCGTCAATTTCAAAACCTTCTGCTTTGGAAAGTGGCCCTGTGCGGGCAGCTTGCTGCCTCCCACAACCTGCCCTCTCCCAGCTTCATTACCTCCGCCGAGGACCTCAAGTTTTAGCCGCCCGCCCTTTATCTCCTTGTCTAATGCTTTCTTATCTGCAGCAAATGCTCAAAAACCTCTCAAGCCATTTGAAGCAAATCTTCAGCAAATCTTTTCTACGGCACCATCAGCACCCCATCACCATTTGCTCACCGTCCGGCTCACTGTCTGCTTGTTGTCTCACAAAACGCCAACTGCTCTTAAGTCTCACTGACTCCTTCAATGCTGTGGTGTCTCCCTTTGTCTACAAGAGGGAGCTCCGACTCCATTCCATCCTCAGTCCTCAGCGCTGTCTTCTCAGCAGCACGCAGGAGGAAGCTGCAGCCAGGCAGCATTGCAGGAGTGGGCTGAGCGCATGGAGCCGGCTGCCTCCAGCACCTCAGCTCACAACCACCTGGTCACATCTGCCTGCTGTCGGTGTGCGTCTCAGCGCTCGCCCTGTCGTGCACGGCTCACACCACGTGTCCAGGCCGACCCTGCTTTTGGCTTCAAACAAAGCGGGATTGACCCATGACTTCTCTTCGTTTCTGTCTTTCTTTTAACAGTCGGTCTACCAGAATTCTGCAACCACTAGAATGACCATAGCAGTCATTTTGGATTATCATTTTAAAAAAATCTAAGAATAAATTGGTGGAATAGATAAAAACATACATCTGGACAATCAATGAAAACTATAATGATTGAGTGTTTTTTTTTTCATTGTCACAACACAACTTCTCTGCAATTACACATGCAACTCGAACTGCAATCATTTTCTCTGTGAAATAAAAACAAATGTATCTAGCTTTCAAAACAGGTTGGTGTCATCATTAGACCTTAACAATGAAAATTATTAACTCGCATGAACATTCCAAAATGCTGTGATGGCCGCCAGCCAGCTGAAGACACTCTGCTGTTACGATGCCAAGATGTTTTGCTTATGGCTCACAGTCAACACAGGTAACCTGGACCTTCCATGTGCAGTTCCCACACACTACCTTGTGACATTTGACCCAAGTATCCTTTGCTTTGTTTTTCCTACACTTTCTTTGCACTTGGCACTGCCTTCTCCTCTCCATCTTCTGCTGCTCCAGCTGGGGATCTCGCAACATCATTTGTCTGGCTTTTGCTGTCATGTGTCCGGAGCGACGTTCATTTGTGAGATGCATTATGAAGTTCCTCTGTGACATCATCTCACTGCATTTCTTGAACAGGATCGTAGCATTTATGGCAGGTCAAGAATATTATAAAACACCACCAATGGCCATCTTCGTGTCGGTGCTTTCACTGAGTATTTCCTCGCCGTTTGATCAAGCACATCTACTCCAACCTTGGTTCTGTTGTAGTACAGAACAGTCTCCAGTTTAGCCTTGCGGCCACTTGTGATGTTGACAGCTGTGTGGACAGTGCTTAGAATGGAGACATGTTTTCTTGGTTTGCATTGATAGACTGTTGGGGTTGCACTGTCACATTTCAGCACCTCTGTCGTGTGCAGGGCCCTTTGCTCCTTTACAGATGGAGGAAGCTCTCGTCTGCTCTTATTTACTGTATTTACTTACTCTCTTTGTTTTAGATTGAAGCTATAACTTGGTTTTTGCTTCACAGAGCATAAAAAACAAGCACAGTCGAGCAGGAAAAAGAGCGGGAAAATGTAGCAAAATGTAAAATATGACACGCTCTGTAAAAAGCATGCAGTCAATTTGACTGCTATGGTAATTCGAGGTCGTATTACTCAGATCTCTTTTGTGATTTGAAATTTTAATGATAAAACAATGTTAGAATAAAATGTATACATTTTTGGGAGAAGTCAGGGTGGTACATGGGTTTTTTTTAACCAAGTTATGATGTTGCAAATTTTGAAAGCAGTCAAAATGACTGCCTTGATAGTTCTAGTGTTAAATTCCAATTCCAGCAGGACCCACACGGGGGCAGCAGGACCGATATGGGAGCAGCAGGACCCACACGGGGCAGCAGGACCGATATGGGAGCAGCAGGATCCACACGGGGGCAGCAGGACCCACACGGGGCAGCAGGACCGATATGGGAGCAACAGGACCCACACGGGGCAGCAGGACCGATATGGGAGCAGCAGGACCCACACGGGGGCAGCAGGGCCCACATGGTGTGGTGGTTCACTCTGGGGTCAAGTTAAACTTTTGTTTCTGTCTCGTCTTCCTGTTTCTGTTGGCAGCTTTTATTTTGTAGTCTGGTCTTCATGTGATCTTTGTCAGCTCTACTTCCTGTTGTCATCTCCTCTTCCTGATTGGTGGCTCCGCCCTAATTGTGTCCAGCTG